CTTTTTGAGTTTTTGATGTAGACACTTAGAATAATAAACTGCCCTCTTAGGACTGTTTTGTTTTTTTAAGTATCCTAGAGGTTTTGTTGTATTGTACTATCATTATTGTTTTGTCCCAGCAATACTTTTATTTTTAATTTTTTGTTTGACCCATCCATCCTGCAGGAGTGTGTTTTTTAATCTCCATGAGTTTGTGTAGTTACTAGGGTTTATTTTGCTGTTTATTTTATTGCATTGTGCATTGTAGAATGCATGGAAATAATCCATTTCTTTTATAACTGTTGAGGTTTGTTTTGTGCACCAGCATGTGGTCAATTTAAAAGAAACTTCCATGGGGTGCTGAATAGAAAGTGTATTCTTTGGTGCTTAGGTGGACTATTAACTAGTTGTCTGTTAGGTCCATTTGACAATTTGACCTTCAGTATCATTGAATTCAGTTGTCTCTGATAATTTTTATCCAGTTGATCTGTCTATTGGAGACAGTGGGGTATTGAAGTCCCCTAGTATTATGGAGTTGGGGTTAATCCGTGTCTTTTATTTATTTATTTTTTTGTCTATTTGAGACAGAGTCTCCCTGCAACCCCAGCTGTCCTAGAACTCACTATATAGACCAGACTGGCCTTGAACTCACAGATATCTGGAGATCGTCCTGCCTCTGCCTCCCCAGTGCTGTGACTAAAGACATGCACCACACACCTGGCTATGTCTTCAAGTTTTGTAGTGCTGTTTTTATGAAGTTGAGTGCACCAGAGTTTGGTGCATATAGGTTCATGATTGTTGTAGCTTCTTGGTCAATTTTACCTATGATCAGAAGGAAATGACCCTCTTTATGTCTTCTGATTAGTTTTAATTTGAAGTCTATTTTGTCTGATATCAGAATTGCAACCCCTGATTATTTCTTAGTACTATTTCTTAGTCTACTTTGTCAGAGATCAGAATTGTAATCCCTGATTATTCCTTAGTGCTATTTACTTAGAATATTTTTCTATCCTTTCATCCTAAGGCAATGCCTAGCCTTGAAGTTGAGTACATTGTATTTCTTTAAAGGATTTATAAATCCTAGAATTGCTCTCATTATTAAGATATACTTAGAATGCTTCTTTACCTGGCTGTTTATTAGTCATTCTTCAATACACAGGCAAGGGAGGGAAAAAGGAATCCCCGGAAAAGTCTGTGTTAATCTCCCTTCATTAGCACATGTTGGGCATGTCTCAGATATGGGACCATAGTTCATTCATTTACCTTCACCAACACATAGTAAACTCTCCAAGGACAAGTTTTCCTTTCACTTATCTTTGTGTCCTGTGCCAAGTACAGAGTTCCCAAGCTTTCAATAATAATTGTGAATTTAAACCAAATTTCTCAATAATACTCAGAAATGAGTATTTCTTTACTCTTACTATTTTATTATTTCAAACCAAAGTGACATGTAATACCTTATTCAGGAGACTCATTCCATGGAATTGTGTCTATTCTTGAATGCTTATCTCTGATTATTTCAGTAAGATTTAGACTATGCCAAGTGTATGCATATATAGCCCCTTTCTATTTTTGATGCTGTTTAATATTCATGGAGCTGAAGTCCACATTGCCACATAGCTTACCCTGGGTTACAAGTGTTAGAGTCACAAAGAAAGTCAGTTCTGCCTGATTGCAGAACATTTCTCTTCCACTATATCAAAGTGACTTTATAAAGAGTATAAAGAAAGAAAATAGAAATAATTCTTGTTCATTTTACTATATTTTAATGGTATATTTGAATTTAATTCACTTCTTTTTGCCAATAATATTTGAAGTATAACTCTAAATAATATGTCATAAGATTAGAATTTTAAATAAATGAAAATAAGTTATACCTCAAATTAAGAATACATATAAAATATATAGCACTTGAATAATTTATAAAGTTAAGATTCTTCCTCTAGAAAAATAAATGCTTTCAATCTTTCAATTTCTATTAACAGTGTTTTATTAAAATTTTATAGTTTGTAGATTGACTGTCAGAATACATCATTAAAATGTTCATCTGTTAAAATGAATGTTTTTGCCTATTTACTCTAAAATCACAACATAAAAACAAAAGCTTTAACTAATGGTTTTTAGAGTTCTAATATCTAATCAATCTCACAAGAAGTATATAGGCAAAGCCTTACTCTATGCCACCTCTCAGAGAACTTTCAATATATACCTCTTAAGAATGCCTCATTTTGGGGTTCTTCTGTCATACACTGCTTACACGTGTTTTCTATTGCTTTGAAAATGGATCACCTAGCAAAGGATTTTAGTCAAACTTCCAACTTCTTCCATACCATAGGGCTTCCTTCTTAGCAGTGCTAACAATATGACTCTTACCATTACTGGCTAAAAAATTTTAAGTGTTATGTCTTCAATTTCACATAAAATCTGCCTTCATGAGCTCACCTCCCCATTTTCGGACAAAACAGTCACTTTCTCTCTAATAAATGACTTTTATCCCTTCTTGCCTTATATCTTGATTGCCATTGTTTATGGATCCTATTATCACATTCTCCTCACATAGCATAATCTTAGTGGAGATCTAACTCAAAAGAGGTAACCCCTACCTGGCACTGGGATTTTTACTCTCCCAAACATTACATTCTATTGTACTTTGTTACCTTCCAGAATTTGACAGTAATACCTTATTGTTGAGGTCTTATTGGAGACATCAAGTTGGTGTGGACTTGGGCCTGGAAGCTTCATCCTGACTGACTAGCTTTCACAATCCTGGAAGGTTCTATGCATGCTACCAGGGAAGAAAAGTCATTGACAGTCTTATCTAGCTATGACTCCTTTAAGGTACAATAACAACTAGCCTGGCAAGATATGCCCACTGATGCAATAGTTGCATGAATATTATGGAAGTAACCAAACACTTTCTGATTAGATTTAAAGCCCTCTCTACAAGATGGATGTATGCCTAATATTATCAACTGGGCCAAAACCCCATTGCTGGCTAGGTCATAGGCCCTAGGGTTGAACCTAATTACTATTATTCTGACAAATAAACATAGTAATAAAGTGACTTCTAATGACTTATTTATTGCTATGCACACATATTAGTGTACCCCTCAACCATCATCAGAGAAGACTTGGGTTTTTTTTTTCTTTTATATTTTTGTTTTCACTTCCTTGTTTTATTTTATTTTATTTTATTTGCAGTAGATGGCATTAATAATACAGAGATCCACAACCAGTCAACATGCAGAGAATAAGAATATTCAACTATAAATGGAACATCTATATCACACCCTATCCTTCAAGGCTCAAGAACCATTGAGGAAGAGGGGACAGAAAGATTGTAAGAACCAGAGGAAGTAGATGTATATACCATCTTTAGCAAAACAATATTTGCTGAACATGATACCACAGCCACACACATGAAATCAGTCTATGACCACATACATGAAACTTGCACAAACTCGTTAACCAAACTCCCAGCAGGGATTCAGGAGAGACTTATGAAGTCCCACCTCTATCTGAGGAGCTATTGGCAATTGACGGCTACTGGGAGAGTCAGTTTTCTTTGGGGATATGTGCCCTAAGAGGCTACCATGTGTCAATACCCAAGAACCTACAGGCATCACTACACTGACTCACTGGGTAGCGAGCAGGGGGTGGGGTGAGGCATTTGGAAGGGAATTATGATGAAGAGGTTAAGGAGGAAATTAGAAGGGAGGGAATGCGGATGGATTTGATCCAAATATATGCATATAAAAATGTGAAATAAAATATTTTTTAGAAGATCTGACTCAACTATCACCATTTTCCATAAGCCTTTACACACACACACACACACACACACACACACACACACACACACACAATGTCCCTACTTCCAGATTAGTAGTCTGCAACTATTTCTGTAACATTGGACTGGGACACAGACATCCCTGTTCTTTGATTTATTGTCTCTGACTTCTTCAGTGCTACAAAAGCAGAGCTGAGTGACTGCACCAGAGACAAGGTGACATACAATCCTGAAATATTTACTATGCAGCCACTTATAATAAATGTTTTTTTATCTCTGCTACATTTTTAAATGGCTAAAAGTTTTTAAATGAGGCCCATAAACCAAAAACTCTGCTGTGTCTTACTGTGAATATTTCAATAATCCTTCCCAATAAATTTATGACATTTGCTATCTTATTAACACCTTCAAATATGTGAGCCCTCATTCCCCAAACAATCCCTCTGAGATACAGGGCTTTATAGCTTTTAAAATTAGCTATGTGTCTATCTCAATCACAACCATTTGCAGCATACTTCCAAGGAAAGTTTCAGGCGCATGGTGATTAACAAGCATGTTGAGTGAGTAAAGTAGTTATCAGACAATTTTCTCATATGTCTTATATACCCCAGTATATAAGACACTGTGAGAAACAGATTCATTGTCTCATATTTTATATCCTCCAAACACCTTGTAGATTGCCTTTTGCGTAGAACTGACTCACAAATCAATCTTTGATGAACAGATACGTGCCAAGAAAAACTAAATTTGAGCAGCCCATTTGAAAGGTAGATAGAAATGCAAGATATGGACATAGTATATGTCACTACATAACTTGACAACCCCAAAGGAAGCACTTACCTTTGCATGGTCAATGCGGGTACTTAGTTCTTTAGATGCAAATCCCCCAAATATGAGGCTGTGGATGGCCCCTATCCTTGCACATGCCAGCATGGCATAAATTGCTTGTGGGATCATGGGCATGTAGATGACCACAGTGTCACCTTTTTTGATGCCCTGCTTGACCAAAACACCAGCCAGCTTAGAGACCTGTTACAAAAAAAAAATCATTAGATCTATATTATTTCACTAAACTTGAAGTCAAAGTAGTAAAACTGGAAAGTGGTCATCCCTCTTATAGTGAATTAAGGAAGCTTAAGGAACACATAATCAATGACGATGATAATGGTTTAGATATATGGTAATAACAATAGTATATCAGGATTGTAACTTATTATACATGAAGATTTACAAACGTGTCAAATGAACTTCATGACTTAGGTTTGCTTACTAATTCATCGTGCAATATATTTACTGAACTATCATATCTAAATTGATATTTATAATTGGTAACACACATTGAAAATGAAAAATAGATGTGTCCTTATAGAATTTGTATTTTAAAGAGCTAATCTTTCAAGAAAAATGGAAAGTAAAATAGTTAATAAAATTAGATACATGATTGGTTGTGAACAGATAAAGATTTGAGAGAACACAAATAATCAGATTTTTACTATATTGTTATCCCCATTTATAATATAAAGTAATTGCGACTCAGGGGTAATATATGCTTAATCAAACATCAGACCACTAGGAAATGGAATAGCCATGAAACTATCACAGGTTTATTGACCACATATTCTTTGTTCTTTCTAATGTCCCAAACCAATTTTTTTCTTTATACTTTTCATACTAAGTATTTATATTAAATAATTTAATAATAATATCCTTTTGGACCAAGTACACAAACTTCTTTTCACTTTTGTCGTGTGTTTTGGAATTAGACATAAAAATGTCTTTTCTCCTAACATGTGATTTGCAATTTCTAGTAAAAAAAAAACAAAACAGATCATAAGCCCACATACAACATCATTTTCTGCAAAAAACCTTTCCACAGTCAGGCTATGGGAATTATACCCAGATTAAGTGTAAGTACTTCAGTATTCCAGCATTTAAAAACACGTTTTTTCACTTAAAATGTCTATTGCTAAAAAAAAAAAAAAAGAACAATGTGCGGTCTTCTCTGTGAGATCGAGGCTAGCCTGGTCTACATAGAAAGTTCCAGGCCAGTTGGGGCTACAGGGAGACCCTGCCTCACACACACACACACACACACACACACACTCACACACACACACACACACACAGAGAGACACAGACACATAATTATCTAGTATTTCAGATCAGTGGATAAAATAAGGCAGAAATCTCTTCTCTGTAGTTATTTTTGGCAGAAGGAATACTTGCAATAAACAAAAAGCACATGATTGCATATTGTATTTAAAGACAATCAATCCATGAAAAAAGAAGCAGAGCAGAACGGATTGGGAGTGTAAGGGAAAGATTCGGTGTAACTGTCAATGAGACAATCAGGAGAGACATCCCTAAAGAAGTGACATTTTAACCAACTTAAAATTTGTTGCAAATCAGTGGGCATCTGGGATTATACTGTTTAAGACAGTGGGAGCCAGAGGAGGTCCCAGAGTCAATATGTCTGTAGGGTCCATCAGGCAACGGCAAAGACTACGGCTGGCCTTTGAAACTGAACAGAGGAGGCTTGAGAGAAGGAATTGGGCCACAGAGCACTATGTGATTTTTTTCATTTCTCTTCTTCTTCTGAAGAAGTTCAAAGAATTCTGAATCCTGCCATTTATTCCTCTATCTTTTTATTTACTTTATCTGTGTAAAGGAAGATCAATGTGGTCAAGGTTAAGACCCTGGTAAAAGAGAAAGGAAGTTCTCAGTGTTCTATTCTTCCAGTTCTTCCAAACTTTATAACTAAGAGCTGTCCAGCAAAACATTATAAGAAGAATAAATGAAGGAAATATAAACCACAAACTTAAATTCTATATGTAGCTCAAGAATGAAAATAAACAATGGAGATTTATAGCCAAATATGTCAGTGTGCCATGTCATAACATTGCCCATATCTCACTTAGTGTACAGTTTACAGTTCCTAGAGAGACCAAGGGGGATAAAACTTATTGAAATATTTAACATTATCATTTTGAATAGTGTCTGTTACAGAATTAAAATACTTTTAAAATAAAACCTAATCCATAAGTGATGCAGTCATTATATTCCTGTCTCACTCAAGATGTTGCTGGAAGACATCTTCAACTTTTCTGTCCTTCAAAAGAAATGAGATCAAGAGAACTTCAAGGCCTTCTTTTTGTAAACTTAGAACACCAAAGGTTAAGTCTTTGGTCAAATGTCTCCCCTAAAAGTGTTTCAGCTGGGGTCAGGTCAGATGTTTAAAAAAGAGGTAGCAAGTATTAAATATGTTGTTTCATATTTTTATTGTTTCTGTATGATTTAGTGTGACCTTCAAAAGGTGATTGCTGATTCTTTTGGTCCTAGTGTGAAGATGTCATGAGGTGGCGGAATTTTTGAGAGCTGAAGTCTAGCAAAGTGCAATAAAGTCACCCCAGGCATTATCTTCGGCAGAGATTAACACAGTTATCATGGTGCCCAAGTTGATTTTTGTGAGAGTAAGTTGTTAAAAAGAATTCACCTGATCTACAAAATTCTCTTAATTCATGTGTTGCCATGCTGTCTTTTTCTGTCACATATTTTCTATATAAAGAACCCAGTTTCAGGTATTTTGTATTAGTAGAAGTACATGGACTCAGACAATATCTGCAAAAGTAGATTATCTGTTTTTCTTGAAAACTGGGAGTGTCTAACAACTTCAGGCCTGTGTTCTGAAGGACTACAATCAACTGAACATGATGGTTGTCTGTTTTTGTTTTTGTTTTTAACCACAAAACTCACTATTCCTGCAGTCATGAGCCACAGATACCATCTATCATATCATTTAAGTGTAAAATACATTCTTCTACATCTAGGTATGGACGTTTCTTTTGTAATCTTACACCATAGTTCCATAACTACAGGGAAGGTGTGATATGTACCAATACTTGAGACTTCTGTCACCCAACCATTTCTTTTGTTTGTGTTATGTGTTTGGCTTCTGCAAGCATTTCCATTTATAGATGACTGTGTCCGTCCCATGAAAACAAGGCAACTACTTTTCAATATTTCGATACTATGATAACCCTAGGATTGGTCTAAAAGAAAAAGTTCCACATGATCAACATGTAGAGCATGCTTTTTCAGTAGTTGCCAAAATCAACTATTATTCTATTTAAAAATTTTTGTTGTAATTTGTCAATTTAAATAGGTTGTTGCCATGTGAGGAGTTTTATGATAAAATGTGTTTATAGTGAGATTTCTGACAAGAAGCTTGTGAAAACAGAATATTAGTCCATAACAAAAAAGAAAGACATTGATTTAATATAAAGTTATTTCACTATATATATATATCAATATTACTTGTTAGTATTAAATCTAGAGCTAATTTACAAGGGAGCCCTAGTGAAGAATACTTAATAGCAATAGTCTTGACTCTGATTTAAATAAAATCACTTACGAGACGTGTAAGCAATCGTGAGCAATAAGATGAAGAAAACTGGGAAAACCCAGTATTCCAAGAATTCAGAATCACTCAGACAAAGTGCTATTGAAAGTTCAAAAGGTGCCAGAGCAGTCTGTGTCCCGATTCCCTATCCATAAGCTGGGTAATCTCTTCAGAGGATGGTGTGATGAGACTGGGAGGTAGGAATTGGCTAGGCAGTTAGTAAAAAGACCCCAAAGAAAAGTATCCAGTTTCTTGGCTAAAAGTCAAAATGTCTTTGGGCCTCTTAGCAATATACTCCATTCCAAAGGCCAAAAATGTCAAAAATATTTGGGAGCTTTTATCTAACCCTTAAAAGATTTTAGGTTTATCTCTTCAGAGGTGGGAATATTAGAGTAGCCAAAAGCCCCATAAAAGAAACAAATCAAAGAAGAAGAACGAGCACATGAAGTTATCAGAAAAAAGTGATGGGGAGATATGGGAGGAGTTGGAGGGGGAAGAGGGCATGGATTTGATCAAAACACCTTATATGCATGTATGAAATTCTCAATAAGTTATTTAATTTTAAAATTTCTCTTCAATAATATTTTAATATTAATATTGAAATATAATATTTCAATTATATTTTAATATATTTTACATATAATTTTTATCCAGTGATATAGTTTTACCCTGCTATAATGCCTAAATGTAAATTTATAATTTCTCTTATCCAAAGGGAAATATATTAATTTATAGGTTTTGGGCTGAAAGAAATGCTAAGTTATGAGCCATTTATTTCTGCATCTTCTTTGTTTTAATTTTAACTTTCTGCTTTTGAGAATTCCATATATGATTACTGTCTTTGCACTATTTCTATCCCTTCTGTTTCACCACCAAGTCCTCCCATGTTCCTCCCACTCCTTCTATATTTATTCTCCTCTTCTTTGATTACTATTGTTACACATTCATATATACATACACACACATATCATGCACTGAGTCCATTTATTGGTCTTTTTGTGCACCCATATTTAGGGCTGTCCATTTGAGATTAGTCAACCTCTCAAAGAACTAGTTCCCAGAGAAAACTGATTCTCCCTCCCTCAGTGTACATTGATTTCTATGGCTTTTCCTCTTGAGTGGGATCCCATGAAATTTCCCCCAGTCACTTTGATATGTCAACTGGTTTTGTCATTTACAGATCTCTTTAGACTACCATAGAGTGACAACAATTTGATAGGTTTGTATCAGGCACACATTATTAAAACTGAGGTTCCATCTGGCATCAAAGGTAATCCAAATCCCGTGCAATCGTGATTAGATAGTACGGAGCTACTCTTCAGCTAGGATGAGATCAAGGGCTCTCTGCAGGTAGTCCAAGGAAAGAAACTAAACACATTTATTTACTGAGATGCAACATTGTTTGCAGGGATTGAACTGCATACTTATCACTAAATTGATACTACTTTAAGGTCAGTTTAATGTACGAGGATTCAATCACTGATTCAATGTGTGTGTTATCTGGTAGGTGTCCAATACTTTGGTTAAGCCTTCACAAGAAAATTAGAGATGATTAGTTTTTAAATCAAAGAAATTTATAGTCAAGGGGGAAAAATTCACACAATGATAATAATCAAGGAGTAAAGGGAAG